GACGTCCTTCCTCTGAATAAAGGTGCTCTTTGCAGCAACCCGCGGGGCCTCAGTCTTGCTTGGGAGTTGGGTCTAAGCCACCTGTCAATCAAGGTAACTCCGGGGGACACTCAGATGAGGGAAGAGAAAGCTGGCTCATGCCATGGAGAAGGTAGTCAGTAGGAATCCTACCAGCCGACTACTGAGAAGGGAAACTTGGTGTTAAAAGAGGTAAAGTGTGACCAGCTCTGTGTAGGTGGGTGGGCACCATGCTGGGAGGTGAGGGCTGGGCAGGGCTGAGGGAGGTATCTGCTTGCTCAGGTCATGGTGCCATTGTTAGCATCACGTGTGACAGCTAGGAGGGCAGGCCTTCCTACAGGAGGGACAGTGGCTACTGTGGGTTGCCCAGAGACCCATTTTACAGACAGGGAAATTGAGGCTCCAAGCAGCTTAATTCAGGATGTACTAGGTCGGGCAGCCAGGCTGGCAGCCCTTAGATCTCGGTGACCTATTAACCCTGCCGACACTGCCTAGCCTCTGATCTGTCGTGAGATGTTTGGAGGTAGCCTCTGGGGATGGGCAGTATCCAGGCTGGGCACCAGTGGAGGTGGTGAGGGCTCAGATCTTTCTGAGGCTCTTCAGGGGCCTTCCTCAAATCCAGCCATGAAGGGTAGGGAGGGAGGGTGGCTGAGCAGGGGGATCCCCACCCTACCCCCTTCCTGTGGTCTCTTTGCTTCCTCTTCTTTACAATGTCACTTTTCGGGACTGGCCGGGTGGTGCTGGCCATCTATTGCCCCTCTGCAGGTGCCTGCCTGCTCTGACCTGACTCCAGTCTCACCTGGAGCTCACGACCTGCCACCTCTGTGTCCTCTGTCTCCTCCTCTCCCCTGCCCCTCCCTGCTCCACCAAACACTGATCACAATCACTCAGCACCCGGAAGTGCGGCTGGGCATGGCCCTTGCTGGTAACTGCTCGGTAACTGCTCTTGTATTTCGGGGCAACTGGCCAGGGCCTGACCCCACCTTGGCCCTGCAATTTGGCTTTTTAAGGCCTGAGGCAGCTGCCTGCAGATTTTTGGAGTAGGGGATGGGGAAAGCGTTCCCTCAGTGGGGGCCATTGTCTTCGGCACACAGTGCCTGGTGACAGTGGCTGGGGCCCCACTTATGGATGAGGAAGCTGACATTTGCTAGGGGGTGGGAAGGTCATGGTGGAACAGTCTGCACACAGGCCGTGGGCCTCCTTCCTGCCTGGTGAGTCAGAGGCCTGTTGCCCTCTGCCCTGGTCTTCACACAGCCTTCTGCAGATGGCATCAGCCTCCCCACTGAGCTGGAGGGCACCATGACCACACTGGCTTCACAGGCATGGAGTTGGGGCCCCAGCCAGGGATAGCGTTTCCACTGGAACTGGAGGCAAAGGGCTTCATCATGGCAGGTCCAAATGCCCTCGATCCTGGAGGGACAGACGAGCAGCAAGGAGCAGGGTGGAGCCAGTGAGGTGGAAGAAGTCGTTAACCTTAGTGTTCGAGAGGCTGAGGCAGGAGCATCATGAGATCAGGGCTAGCTTGGGCTACAAAGTGAGGTCTTATTCAAAACATCACCTGAGAAACCAGAGCCAAGTGGGAAGGGGCCCAGGGAGGGCATAGCCTCAACTACTTCTTCCAGGTGTAAGGTTATTCCTCAGAAGGGAAGCAAGCCGACCTCTTTTTTTTTTTTTTTTTTTTTTTTTTTTTCATATTCTGGGTGGGGGTTTCCAAGACAGTGTTTCTCTGTGTATCCCTGGCTGTCCTGGAACTCTCACTGTAGACCAGGCTGGCCTCGAACTCAGTTCTGCCTGCCTCTCCTGGGATTAAAGGCGTGCCTCACCACCAGCTGCAAGCTGACTTCTGACGCCTACTTCCATGGGGGTCTGAGCAAGGGCCCTCCGCTTAGGTCAACTACTCAGGCAGGGAGGGCACTCATCTTCTCCCCCAGGGGCATTGGGGGTACATCCTTGCCACTAACTCATAACCCAGGCTAAGAGCACCAGAAGGGGCCCAGTCAGGTGTGCTGTCCCAAACCACCCATCACCAGAGGGCTTTCAAAAGTAAAACTTGGAGCCAGGTATCCTGGTGGCTCATGCTTGTTATCTCTGCACTTGGGAGACAGAGGCAGGAGGGCTGCAAGAGTTCAAGGCCAGCCTGGGCTACCTGCAGAATGATGCCCCCCACTCCAATAAGAGTAGAATTGCACTAGCAAGCGATAGGGTGTCAGGAAGGGTGCAGAAGGCAGCCTCAGCCCCCAGCTTCCTCTCTCAGGGTGAGTGGTAGGAGCAGTGGTCAGGACTAGCTGAGCTGGGTCTGGGGGAGGGCTGCAGGGTGGGGCTGAAGTTTTCAACTTCCCTCTCTGAACTTCCCTCCCCTCTGGGGTCAGCAGGGCTGACTTCCTGGAAAAGGTGCCTCATTGCTGGAGCCGGAAGGCCAAAACCACAGTGTGAGCGTGTGTGAGCGTGTGTGTGTGTGTGTGTGTGTGTGTGTGTGTGTGTGTGTGTGTGTGTGTGTGCATGTGTGCACTCCAGCTTGTCACAGTCCAGACAAAGCCACCCCAGAGTGGGGTTTGCTGGGAGAGATGGTCAGGAACTCTCCCTGGAGCTGAGACTTCCCTATTCTCCCTGCCACCAATGGCCCAGACCTTGGATGACAGAAGTCAGGCCTCACTGGATTTCTTCAGCCTGCTCTTCCTGCATTCTGGGCCTGATGTCTCAGGAGGAAGCAGGAGGCCTGCATCAGACTCATTGGCCAGGCCTGTGGCACACCCTCCTGGGCCCACCTGCTCACCTGACCCCCAGTTATAGTCTTTCACTCTTCCCGCCGAAATCCCACATTGTCCCCCTTTTGATGCTTGACATTAAAAAATAATAATAAAATTATTGGGGCTGGAGAGATGGCTTGGTGGTTAAGAGCATGGGCTGCTCTTGCGGAGGGACCCAGGTTCGATTCCCAGCACTCACATGGCTGCCCACGAAAGTCTGTAATTCCAGTTCTAGGGGAGGCTACGCTCTCTTCTGGCCTCTGCAGGCACCAGGCATGCATCTGGTGCACAGACATACATACGGGCAAAGACAACCTGCAGGAATAGGTTCTTTCACCATGTAGGCCCCAGGGACTAAACTTAGGTCATTGGGTTTAGCAGCAAACAGCAAGCACCTTAACCAGCTGAGTTGGCTCACTGGCTTTTTGGTGCCGTTTTTAATCGGTGTATTTTCATTGTGCACAGAAATCAATTTCATAAAGATAGCTCCGTTCATCACGTGCTCTGACTGTATTCACCCCTCCACCTTCTCTCCCCACTAGTCATCTTGCTTTTCACACACAGTCCCACTTCTATCATCACACACACACACATACACACATATACAAAGGCATGCACACCCGCCCACGAAGGCTGGCAATGTGGCTCAGTTGGTAGAGTGCTTGCCAAGCGTGGAAAAAGTCATAGGTTCAAACCCCAGCACCGCATGAACATCCTTGGCTACATAGAATTCAAGGCCAGCCTGGACTTTGTCCAATAAACAAACACACACATAGATGGGAGAGATGGCTCTGTGGTTAAGAGCGCCAGCTGCTCTTCCAGAGGACCCAGGTTCAATCCCAGCATCCATATGGTGGCTTAGAACATTTATAACTCCAGTTCCAGGGGAAAATTTGACCTGACATGCTCTTCTGGCCTCTGTGGGTACTGCATGCATGTGGTGCACAGACATACATGCAGGCAAAACACCCATACATATAACATAAAAATATTAAAATAAGTAAAACAAGAGAAGGGGAAAATGTATAAAATCTGACTAACCCTGATTGCTGCCCAACTACATACATGGTCACTTGGTAAATCCCTGGAAGGGACCCCAAGACCAAGAGGCACTCTATATTGGACCCTGGAGGTTGCCTAGATGTTCACCCAGGCCCTGTCCAGGTATCTGGCTCTGCCACAACCCACCATGGTCCTTGGGCGCCTCCTGGTGGCCACGGTTGGTAATTTCTCCCAGTCCGAGTCCCAGCTTTCCTGGGACGCAACAGGAAGGAAAAGAACCACAGGCCTCTGCTTTGGCCTCAAAGTTCCATGCAATACTAAATACAGTCGCAACTTCTGATTTATTCCCTTTGTCTCCTCGGTAGTGCTGAGACTTGAGCCTTGGGCCAACACATACGCTAGGCGAACGATCAAACCACAGAGCACGTTCCGAGCCTTCTAATGCCTGGTTGATGCAGTATGAGGAAGTCAGGTGCAAGGCGCATGTGCTGTTCTTGGGCTGGCTCTGGAGTGTGGCTCAAGCAGCAGCTGCCAGCATCAGTTCTTAGAGTCACTGCTCGCTCTACCCCACCCCCAACATAGACGTGTCCCCGTGGAACCTCTGGGCACTTTGGATGCAGACTATTGTGAACTTCTGGAAAGCACGCCTATCGTGGCTCATGGCTCCTGAGGGGGAGCCAGGGCCCCCATAGGCCCTTGCTTTCCATGAATCTTGTTCTAGCTTTCCACATACAACCACCTCACTGGGGGATTCTAGGCAGGGCTCTACCACTGAACCACACCCCAGCCCCTTACTGGGGGATTCTAGGCAGGGCTCTATCACTGAGCCACACCCCAGCCCCTTACTGGGGGATTCTAGACAGGTGCTCTATCACTGAGTCACACCACCAGCCCCTCACTGGGGGATTCTGGGCAGGGGCTCTACCACTGAGCCACACCCCCAGCTTTTCAATGGAGCCCTACTCCAGTACAGAGCTGATTGGTCTCCATCCCTTCCTGATTCAGCAGCTAGAGCAATTCAGTTAAAATGAATGTTAGATAGTGTCACTCTCTATGGCTCCTTCCCAGCCAATGAGGCCCTTCCCCTACCCGTGAAGTCCTCAGCATACTGAATATGGTTCCCCACAGACCTCACTCAGGAGCCCTGTGTGTCCCTAGTCTGGGCTGCAGACAACCACCCTGTGGACAACCTATGGCTCTGGATCCTCCAGGGCAGTTCAGGAAAGACAGACCTGTTTTTTTAAAATTGTTTATTTTAAAACATGAAACCCAAGCTGAATAGAGATCACAGAAATCACATGGACAAGAACTTTAGTTATTTGCCAAGAAAAATAAAGTTCCCCAAAGAAATAAAAATTGAACCCCAAACCCAGTTTAAAAAAACGAAAACACAGCAACAGTAACACACAGCCATGGCCCTACAGAGGCTGGAGGGGAACTGGGGCTGGCTCAGTTCAGATGACAGTGTCCACTGGGGGCAGATGCAGGCAGGGAGACAGTAACTGGGAGGCAAATCTCACAAAATCATATAGATGAGAAAGGGCGCGGTACACCATCGTCATGATTAAAACCAAACGAGACTCTGGTCACCTTTGACCCAGGAGCTAACCACCTTCTGGGTAGGGCAGGCATTGGGGCTGGGGCCAGGAATTGCATAGTGAGACAGGGTGGGCGGGTGGGCACTAGGGGGAGGGTTTGGAGGATGTTCCAGGCCAGGATCTGCCACTTAAGCTCTGTGTGTCTGTGGGGGACGGTGGCCACCATCCTACCAGTGATGGCGTCCCAGGCATCCCTCCTCCGGGTTTGGCTAGGGACCTGGGTCTGGTTTGGTGGCTCAGCCTTCCTTGCTCCCCACCAGAGGTGTAGGGTCCCCTGGAGTAAGAGGGAGTGGGGACCAATCACAGGCAGCTGGCACTGAACTGCTCACCCCCCTGGAGAGGTGGAGGGACTACTGGGATTGAAGAGACAAGTGGCACCCCAAAAATCAGAAAACAAAACAACAAAAAAAAAGCCCACAGTGGCAGGAGCCGTCTCCTCTGCAGAGGTCAGGGTAGAAACCCTTTTATTTCCCCTTGTTTCCTTTCTTCAGCCTCGGTGAGTGAAAAGTCACAGATGGGGGCACGCACGCACACGACGGTCAGGACTCCCAAGACAGCACAAGTTCACAGCCACATCCGGGCAGTGCCCGCCTCTCATGCTATATACATTCACCTTGTGGCCAGCTCACGGCCAGGGGGCAGCATTTGTGCTTCTGAGAGGCCCCAGGGCACACCCAGGCACCCAGGCAGGGGTGCCCCATGCCTCCCTCTGAACCTGAGGCCAGGAACACACCCACAGTGGGCAGGGTGGCTGCAGTTGGGCCTCCACGGCCCTGTAGGTTCCCGGCGCCAGACCAGTTGGAGGCAAAGGCAGGGTCCCCTCCACTGAGGTTCTGTCATGCTCAGGAGCTACAGACGCCCAGACTTGGACCCCTAGGCCCAGTGAGTCCTCTGCCGACTCCTTTTGGTCCCAGACACCAGCACAAAGAAAGGGGTTGGTTGAGAAGGAAGGGAATGTGGAACCTCTCCCCTCTGGGGAGAGCTGAAGCCCGGGGTTCTGGGGTCTGTAGCTGCCAGGTTGCTCTAGGAGGGCCACAGGTCTGTAAACCACCTCCCACCACAGGGCCCCAGTCTTGGCTACCTGCACAAGCTGCTCCACAGCCCTGTAGCTGCCCATCCCACAGGCCAGAGCTCACACTGGCTGGCTGGGCCAGGGTAGAGGCTCCAAGTCCTGATTGGGGAGCTGATTCGGCCCCTCACAGCAGGAAGCACAGCAAACACCACACACTAAAGCCAAAAGCACCTTAGGAGAGCCGTGTTCCTGGTAGGGACTGAGGCCGCGTGGACTACAGCCCACAGTCCCCCAGACATGCTCCTCCTGGGGCAGCACCTGCCTAGGGAGGGTCTCTAGGCCCTTTGAGTTGCCTGTGGGTCTGGCCCCTCCCTGGCAGCACCCCACAAAGAAATGACCACTCTAGCCCTGGCTCCAGGCTAGACTTAGGGTCATGCTTGCTGGCTCAGGGGCAGCCAGGAGTGCCCGTGGCATCTGAGGTTAGTGGTTAGTCCCAACAGCGGCATTCTGAGGCTGGGGGCACATTCACAGCCATCTCGGGTCCAGCCCCCAAGGCTCCAGAGGGTACTGCCGCTTGTCCTGGGCAAGAATGAAACTGAGAAGGAAGGGAAGTGGGCAGTGTCCTGCTTCGCCTATGTCCCAGACTGCCCTGGAGATGACAAATGTGGTCAGTGCAAAACCAAAGGGGACGAAGCTGCCACTCTCCAGGACAAATGGGAAAGAGGGTTTGGCACCAAGAAGGCGGCCAGCACTGAGAGGCCAGGGAGTGACCTGGGCTCTGTGTGGCACCTGCTGTCCGGGGAGGGCTGGTGGGGTGCTGAGGAAGAGAATCATGTGGGCAGGAGGTGCAGGAAGAGCCCCACCCAGGAGGCAGCTCAGAACTGACAGGAAGGGCCGAGGAAGCCGGGTGGCTAAAAGGAGGCAGGCGCTGGATGTTGCAAAGACAAGAGTGTGTGAAGGGGCCACTCAGTGATGAGCAGGTGGGCACCAGGCACGGGGGCTTCCACTGCCTACGAACGGAGAAAGGATCCTCAGAAGGGTCAGGGACCGGGACAATACCAGGAAAGGTTCGGTGCAGCTGGAGGGAAGGGAGCTCCCAGAGGGCAAGGGACAGCATGGAGGGCCACCTGTAGAAGGAACGTGGGGGCGGAAGCACCTGGTACAGAGCAGGGCTCGGAGAGCCCAAGAGGACAGAGGGACGGGGAGATGGAGGCAGGCAGGGTCGGGTTGCTGGTGGCAGTGTCTGTCCAGGTGAGTGCCCAGAAGTTGCACTTCTCAGGCTGGCCCAGAGCTCATGCTGGGCACCTACATGCCTCCTGCAGGGTGGGTACAGTGGGGGGCTTCAGAAGAGCCTAGGGCTGGCCCGGTGTGGCTTGCAGAGGGTCCGGCAGGGTGGAAGCAGCAGTGCTGGCATAGGAAGGGTGGGGCAATTGGCACGTGGGGGTAGATGGCTGGCCGGTGTGCAGTCTAGTGCCCGCTGCCGCTGGAGTCGGGGCGAGGCTGGCTTGTGGCGAGGTATTTGGCTCTCATGCTGGAGGTGTACTGGAGGAGAGAGGGAGGGAGGGAGCAGGGTCAGCTGGGCTCCTGTGCAGGGCTGAGCAGCCAGTAGCCTCTTTGATGTGGTCCTTGGTAGGGTGAGCCACAGCCGACCCTCGGGGGGCAGAGTACAGCGGTGCAGTGCATGGCTGGCAGAGTAAGAGCTGCTGGCCCAGGGCCAGGACTGAGGACTGGGTACAGACGAGGGAAGCGGTGATACACTGAGTATGGAGGGTAGCCTCCACAACCCAGGCTGGGCCGCAGAGCAAGCCTCCTTTCCCCATTAAGTACATTCGGTCCCCTACTGTCTGAGTCATTTTCAGAGCCCCGGGTGACGCTGCCACCTCAAAGGCCCTAACTGCATCATCGCACACATCAGGAACCTGAAGGCCACACAGACCCCCTCTCTACACCTCTGCTTCAGGGCTCCACCCTGGGTCAAGACAAGGCCGCCCAGGGCAGGTCCACATGAAGCTAGGCCACAGGCTACAGCTGGCGAGTCCACTGGAGTTAGGAAGCTGAAGCCTCTTCCCCAGCCATTCAACAACATCACCCCCAGGAAAGGGGGGTGCTTCCGGCTAGTGACTCCGCCCCACCCCTTGGATAGGGAAACTAAATTCTCCAGAATGTGTGACTTGAGATGGAGGTGAACGGCTGGATCTGCAGATGGCCTGCACATCTTGGCCACCCCAGCGTACCACAGGTGTGAAGGTTTGGGGTAGTGCCTCTGTGTGTGTGTGTGTGTGTGTGTGTGTGTGTGTGTGTGTGTGTGTGTGTGTGTGTGTGTGTCTGCAGAGGGTGTGCCAATGCCAGGCAGTGTGCAGAGTCTGCATGCCTGTGGCAGGGACAAAGGTCACCACTGCTCAGAAGGCCGGGCAGGCTGACCCCCACCCACCCTAGGGAGCACAGGCTGGCCTCACAGTCCCCAGATGAGAGGGGCAATGCTCCTGGGGTCCTGAGTGCTTTCCTGGAACATTCTAGGTTAAGGTCGCAAGCAGCGGCCATGGAGCAGGGGTGAGAGGAGCAGGGGCCCAGAGCCATGTCATTCCATGGACATGCAGCGGTGACAAGGGACAGGGGGTTGGGACGGGACAACTGGTGGGATGGGACGAAAGATGGCAGCCCAGAGGCCTGGAGGAGCCCAAGCAGGCATTGGGACAGGGGGCAGAGGTTCACACCCATATGAGCACACCTGTGTGTACCTGTGTGCATGGGCCAACATGCAGGACCACATACCCAGGGACCCAGCTCTGCATCCAGGGTCAGATGCATACAGGGTCTGGGTGGGAGTGATAAGATGGGCTGGGCCACCTGCAGCTGATGATAGAGTCAAGCCTGGAACGGTGGTTCACTGTGACCCCACTGGGTTCAGGACCACTTCAGGGGCCTCTGGCCTCCCAACAGTGGATGGAGGGCAGTGGTGAGAAGAGGGTGCAAGGCATGGAGGTACAGGCGGGCAGCCGTGCGGGATGGGGGGCTGGGCGGGTCAGTACCTGTCACTCTGAGGGTACAGCTACCACAGTGTTCGGGCGCTGTCCATGGGTTTAAATTGCCAGCCTGCATGGCTGCCAGAGTCCAGGGCAGCCAGGTAGCGCTAGGAGGGCCCAGGGTGGGAGGGATGCAGGAGAGAGAGAGAGAGAGGGGTGTCCTCAACGCCAGGCGTGGCCGGCCCCAAGTGGACCACAAGAGGGCCAAGGGTGAGGGCAGTTGAGTGTGACACCCCAGCCCAGCCCTGTGCTAGGGGACACTGGTGATGTGGCTGACACTGCAGGTGTTCCTAAAACAAGGCGGCCTTCAGTCTCTTAGATTCTGTCCTCACAGCCCAGACTCAGGGAAGCCTCAGAGGCTGCCACCTTTCCAACAGCACCTTCTGTTTGGCACCAAATCCACCTTGATTCTTTTGTCTACGTCTCACTTCTGGGGCTTGGAAGGGACATCAGGCCTGGGCTAGAACAGCCTGGGGCTGAGACATTGATGGATGTTTAGGGAAAAGAAAGAAGGGAGGGAGGAAGGAAGGGAGGGAGGGAGGGAGGGATAGAGGGAGGGAGGGAGGGAAGAGAAAATAGAAAGAAGGAAAGAGAAGGGAGGAAAGAGATAGGAGGAAGGGATGGAGGGATGCAGGGAGGGAGGGAGGGATGCAGGGAGGGAAGGCAGGCAAGAATGGAGGGTGGGAGGGTGGGAGGGTGGGAGGGAGGGAGGGAGGGGGGAGGGAACAAGGCTCTAAAGATGGAGCAGCCTAGCCAAGGCTTTGGGAAGCCCAAGGGGAAGCTGGGAAGAGGGTACTGGGGCCTTGCTGGCTACCTGCTCATCTCAAGAAAGAACCAAGGGCTGACCTGCTAGGCAGCAGGACCCCAAGACTGCCCACACTGACCCCCAGGTTTCTCAAGGGTGGCAAGAGCTGGAGGACCCACCCAGCCCCACTAATTTAGACCCTGGTATTACAGGCCCACAGCTTCCTCAAGAGCCCAGGCAGCCTGTGAGAGTCAACACCAGGGTACCATGGCGGCAGATTGGCAAAGCCCTCAAGCCAGAGAGTCTCCCCACCCACCCTCCTGCCCTGAGACTTACTGAGGGCGGTGGGGACTCGCGCCCAATGAGGGGGGTGTTCTCACAGCGGGGATTCTGGAAATTGGCATTCTGGCTCCTGAGTGGAAGGGGAGAGAGAGCATGTGAATGGTCAGGGGCCATGTGGTCCTTACTCTGGGGGAAAAGGCCCTTCTTGTTGTTTTACTTTGTTTTAGAGAGGGTCTCATGTAGCCCAGGCTGGTCTTGAACTTGCTATGTAGCCAAGGATAATCTTGAACCCCTGATCCTCCTGCCTCTATCAAGTGAGTGATGGGATTGCAGGTGTGACCACTTTAGAGCCAGACAGGTTCCATGCCTGGCCAGCTCTGCCAGTGCTAACTTTACAGCGTCAAGCTCAGGACAGTTCTCAATGCATACCGGCCTCCCCAGCAGTCACAGTCCACTTCCCACTGGAACTGCCTACCACAAAGGCACACCCCCTCCACCCGGCCATGTGGCCACCTCAGGGCTCTTGATGGGGTTCACCTGGTCACAGGGGACACTTAGTGCCAGGCCATTCCACCCTGGCTGCTCAGCCTTGATGAGCATGCCCTCCCCCACAGCACCTCCCTGCAGATGTACAGGCCCTGTACCCTCCCATCCCCTATGACAGCCTGACAGCAACAGGCCCCCCCAGCTGCTTATGTGCGCTGTCCCCGGCCCTGGCTCTGCCTGTCCCCAGCACCCACAACTCACATGTACTCAGTGACCGGGGCATTGCTGACGGTGTGGGCGGCGGCTGGGATGCTGGCCTCACTGCCGTAGCTGCTACCACAGCTGTACAAACTGGGCATGTGCACTCGGTAAAGGCTGTCATGTGCCTGCCGTGGCCCTGGAGCAGTCTCCTCTTCTCCATCCTCATCTGGGCCTCTGCAGGGAGAGGCAGCGCATAGGCTCAGCATCCTTAGTCTGGGGCGCTGGTGTGTGGCAGGGCTATGGGCTGGTCCGCTTTGCCCTCTGAGACGCATCTTCCCCTGGCCTAGGGAGCTCTCTCTTGCCTTTGTGGGGCTTGTTCTCAACTCTGGATGGCCTGAGGCAACCTGCCCCACTCCCCTCTGGCTTCCCAGCCTCTATTCCCTGTCATTGGCTGGGGGCCAGACCTCTGTTGTTCTGCAGCAGCCCTGTGCTTTCCTATTCCACATGGAATCCAAGGCTAGGCCACTGGGTGGGAAGCACTCAGAGGTGGGACTGAGTGAGCTTCTGATGTGACCACAGCTGAGCCTCAGCAGGACCCTCACACATAAGCTCTCACCTGGCCCCCAATATGTGTCCTTTAAAATGAGAATTATTAGCTGGGCATGGTGGTGTATACTTGAAAAACCAAAAGCCAAGAGAGAGAGAGAGAATTATTTTTTATTTTTATTTTTTGTTTCTTCGAGACAGGGCTTTTCTGTGTATCCCTGGCTGTCCTGAAACTCACTCTGTAGACCAGGCTGGCCTCTAACTTGCAGAGATCCATCTGCCTCTGCCACCCAAATTCTGGGATTAAAGTCATGCACCACCATGCCTAGCTTTCCTAAAAAAAATAATTATTTATTTATTCTATGTGTATGGGTGTTTGGCCTACACGTATGTCTGCGTGAGGGTGTCGGGTCCCCTGGAACTGGAATTACAGATGGTTGTAGGCCACCATGTGGGTGCTGGGAATTGCCCAAGGTCCTCTGGAAGAGCAGCCAGTGCTCTTAACCACTGAGCCATCTCTCCAGCTCCAATTTTTGTGTTTAATTGTGTATACTTATGTGGGGAGGGGGTTTGTGCACATGAGTGCAGGTGCCTGTGGAGACCAGAAGAGGGCACCGATGCCCTGGAGCTGGAGTTCAGACAACGGTTAGCTGCCCAGCATGTGTGCTGGGAACCAAACCTGGTCCTATGGGAGAGTGGTGTGCACTGTTCACCTGATCCGCCACCCCGGCTCCACAACGTGTGTCCTCTTACAGCTCGCTTTTACAACAAGAGCAATGTGGTGACCTGTTCAGTCACACGGTGGGCAGTCAGGACCCGGACACAAACATGAAGCTGCAGGGCTCGAAGCTCCTCTCCTACAGTTTCCGTGTTTGTCACCATGGCCGTCACCACCACCACGACCACTGTTGTCATAACCATCACTACCAACTACCATCACCACTGTCGCTCACAACTGCCACCGTCACTGTGCTAGAGTCACCACCACCACCACGATCACAACCACCACTACCCTCACGGTCACCGTGATTTCTACCCTTGTCCCCACATCTCCATCAACACCAGAATCATCACTGTCACCGTTATCATATCGCCATCGCCACCATGACTTCTACCATCACCACCATCAATCATTCCCACCATCATCACCACCATTCCCACCAAAATCACCACCACTGTCAGTCACCATTATAATCATCTCCACCACCACCATCAGGCTGTTATCAACACCGTGACCAGCACCACCGTCACAACTGCCCCCATGACCACCGTTACCGCCACCATCTTCAGAATCCTTACCGCCATGATCACCATCTCCATCACCACCTCTTTATCACGAGCAGCAGCATCACTACCATCATGACCTCTATCACCGCGGTGCCCAGCGCCACCTCAAACATCATCACCATTATCACCGCCACCGCCAATCATCCACCCTCATCATCCTCACCACCATCACCACCCTCTTTTTGTTTGTTTGTTTGTTTTGAGGCTAAGTCTGTCTCTAGTCCTGGCTGTCCTGGATCTAACTCTCTATGTAGACCAAGCTGGCCTCGAACTCACAGAGATCCACCTGCCTTCGCCTCCCAAGTGCTGGGATTAAAGGTGTGTGCCACCTCACCCAGCCATCATCGCCCATCTTATCATCACGCTCTCCATCCCACTCAGAGGGAAAGGAGCAGAATAACAACACAGGCACGGGGACAACCCTGAAATGCCATTCTTGCCATCTCAGCTGGACCACAAACAGCATCGTGGCCCCAGTGGAAGGAGGTGATAAAGAGCTAAGAGATCAGTCAAGCGGAAGAAGCCTGACTCTTCATGTCTCTCCAATCTAGTTCTAGGCTGAGGAGACTGAGGCAGCAGCCATGAGGACATCTGACTTCAAAGATATATAAGGGCCCCATCTGGGTCCCCAGCAGGATGTGGCCACCTGAACTTCCTCCTACAGAAGCCGAGTCTTCATCACCTACAGCTGTGCACATCTGTCCCTGGGACCACAGAAGAAGACACATCCTGACGCAGTCATCAGGGTGTAGGGCATAAAGTCAACACAAGGGGGCAGGAGAGCCTGGCTCTGCCCCTTGCCTGCACTGGACAGGAATCTGTCACCCTCATTACCACAGGCTCACATAACAACAGGCTGCCCCAACATGCTTCAGAGGCCTGGAAAGCATTAAGAGGTGAGGAAGTGTATGTCTCTCACCTCTGGAGACAAGACCCGAGTATCCAGATGGGTCAAGCTCCGGGACCCCAGGGAAAGCCTTACCTCTTTTGTTGCCAGGTATGTGGAACGCTACAGACGATGGAGCTGAACATGAGGGCTGTGACGAAGGAAAAGAGCGCCAGGTAGATGAGGCCCTCGACACCATCGTAGCAGAAGCCTGTCAGCGCCTGCACATAGTCCTGAGTGGGAAGAATGGGGCACAAAACCAAGGACAGGGAGAGAAGCAGTGAGATCAACTTGCCAGGCCGCACTGGATGTTCCCACATGAGGCACCACAGAAGACCCGCCATCAACCCAGGGACCATGAATCTCTTCCTGGGGGCTCCCCTCTACCCCGAACCCAGCTGCCCAGCGGCCTCACCAGGTGCAAGCTGCGGCAGTCCACCAGGGCGGTGAGGTGCTGGAGATTCACCTCTGTGCCGTTTAGCACCTCCTGGACTCGGAGTAAGGGATCCTGGGGAGGAGAGTCACAGACCACTTGATGTCAGCATGACTGGGAAGACCCAAATGAGCCACGGAGGCCCCAGTTTCCTTCTGTATCACAACTAGTCACAGAGAGCACCCCCTGAACCCCGTCTCCATGCAGCCACGAGGGTCTTCAGAAAAAATGGCAAGCCTGGGTTCTGTGCCTTGGAAACACGGGGACCAGAGAACCCACAGATATCTGTCCAGTGTGGTTGCTACTAAGATAGATTTAATTTAAATTAATTTTGTTGTCAAGAGTCTTGCTAGATGCTGTAAGCTGGTTTCAAACTCACAATCCTCCTGCCTCAGCCTCTTCAGGGCTGAGGTGCACACTACCACACCTGGCTAGATTTCCCTCACTGTCATGGGAGAAATTGACTCACTATGTGTCACTGACTCGGCCTTGTTCCGCTCTTAAAAACCGTATTTTAGGGGGCAGAAGGAATGGGTCAGCAGTTAAGAGCACTGGCTGCTCTTTGGACCCGGGTTGGATTTTCAACACCTACACAGTGGTTCACAACTGTCTTTGACCCTAGTTCCAAGGGAATCTGATGCCCTTCTCTGGCCTGCACAAGTACCAGACATACACATGCAGGCAAAACACCCATGCACATAAAATGAAATTAAACATAAATTTTACAAAAGCCAGATTTTCAGCTGGTTATGGTAGGCAAGCCTGCAAACCCAGCACTCCAGAAGAATTGCTGTATAGCAAGAGCCTTTTTTTTTTTTAAACACAGGGTCTCACCAAGTAGCCCTGGCTATCCTTGAATTCGCAAACACCCACCTGATCCTGCCTTTTGAATGCTGGGACTAAAGGAATGTGTCACCTCACCTGGCTGTAAAACATGCAAGGATCACCTATGATCTGGGGGTTTGTATCAGGAAAACATTACCTAGGGTCGAGTTGTGTCCCCAAATCGTGGGCTAAAGGCCCAACCCAAAGCCCTCCCTAGAAAGTCAGTTTGGAGACAGACCTTTTCTTTTTTCATTTCTTTTTTCTTTCTTTTTTTTTTGGTTTATCGAGACAGGGTTTCTCTGTGTAGCTTTGCACCTTTCCTGGAACTCGCTCTGTAGATCAGGCCGGCCTCGAACTCACAGAGATCTGCCTGCCTCTGCCTCCCGAGTGCTGGGATTAAAGGCGTGCACCACTACCGCCCAGTCTTTTTTCATTTCTTTTTGCAGTGCAGGGATGGAATTCAGGGCCTTGCATGTGCCTGACAAGTACTTGACCACTAAGCCAGCCCGTGGGACTTAATCTAGAGACACACAGCCTCATTGTAGCCCAGGCTGGACTCTCACTCCCTATGTAGCTGAGGATGACCCTGAACTCCTGATCCTCCAGCCTCTACTTCTCTAGTGTTGAGAGTCAGATATGTTCCACCATACCCAGCCAGGCCTTGCATTTTTGAGACAGGATTTGGCCATGTAGCCCAGGTTAACCTAGAATTCAAGATCTTGCCTCAGCCTCTTGAGTCCTATGATTACAGGAATGTCACTATGCCAAGCTTGTATTCTTGTATTACTTTTTAGTATTAGGAACAAAAACATTTTACTTGGTGTGCGTGGTGTGTGGTGTGGTGTGGTGCGTGTGTGCAAGAGTGTGTGTGTGTGTGTGTGTGTGTGTGTGTGTGTGTGTGTGTGTGTGTAAACATGCCACAGTGAGCACACGGAGGTCAGAAGACTACTTGTCGGAGTCACTTCCTTCCTCCCACCATGTGGGTCTCAGGGATTGAACTCAGGTTGTCAGGATTGGCGGTGGAGACCTTTACATGCTGAGCCATCTCACCAGCCTCCCAAATAGTTTATAAACCTGAGAAAAATGCCCAGGGGAAGGAGTGGGGAGTGAAGCGAGGGACGCGAGAAGACCCTGGGAGAAGAAGGGGAACAATCAAGACCCTCAGGTTTCCATCAGTCAGGTTTGCCCTTGCCCACAGCCCCTCACCTTGGTGGCTGGGTGCTCCCTTGGGACACTCCTCAGCAGCTCGGCCACGACATCCTGCATTTCCACCAGAGCCTTGTGGCTGCCCGACAGTTTCTGCTCCACAGAGGAGAGTAGAATCCAGCAGCTGGCAGCTGCTCTCCCACCCCAGCCCTCCCAACACAGGCAGCCTGCAAGGCCCCAAGTGGGCCAGTTACGCCTGACTCCACCCTGGAGGCTACCGAACACCCCTTCCCCCTGAAGGTGCCCACACAGGGGACGATACACTCCTGAGGTGCTACCAAAATCCTGCACCCACTCCAGAGAGCAAAGTAAAGCATCCTCAATGGAGATGTGCCATCAGGATGCAAAGGATGCTCTCACTCCACGGGGTGTAACGAGTAGTGGGTACAGGGTATGGCTAGCCAATGTTGCCAAACTTTCAAATGCCACTACTGGGACCCCTGAACAGGTGGCATTTTACAGAGGTGTCCCCAGGGCTCCTCCCATACCTGTTCACATTTGCCAGTCAGCTAGCCTCTGTCCTGCAGGGCTGCTGAGAGAACGACAGGCATCCCAAGGATCCACATTAAATAGGCCACCACAAGGATGGGGCAACAGACTAGCATCCTCTGAACTGGGTTTGCACAGAGCCTAAGGGGCCAGCGGCTTCAGATATTTGGGCTTGCAGGCTAAGCCCATGGCCCTTTCAGCCTCTTCCCGTACCCTGTGTCCCTGGCATTGGCCACCCAGAACCAGCCTGGCTCTCACCTGCTGGAAGGGGTTGGTGGCACGGGGCGAGCAAGCCAAGTAGTATTGCAAAATGTCTGTGAAAAGAGGGAAGGGGGCTGAGGGCAGGTCCTGTCTGTGTCTGCATGCAAGTACATGCATTCACATTGTCAGCAAGAGTGCCTGCCTGTGTCTGGGTATCTACATGCACCAATGCTTGCAAACAATGCATGCATGTTGTATCCATGTGCTTGCACATATTTGCATGTATATGCATTCACACACGTGCATGTTGGTTTGTGCATGTGTGTGAGACTGAACAGTAACCTCCAGGGAGACTGTGGCTAAGCCAAGATCCTGTCCTCAGAGCGGGGGCCCGGAAGTGTGCAGGACACTCAGGGGTGGGTCTTCCTGCTCTGAAGCAGTGACAGTGGATAGAGTGGGGTCAGCACCCACACTCAGCCTTGGGTTCTGTGTCCCCTTTGGTGTCTGGGAGTACAGGGGCTGTAGGACCAGGGACATGGCTCCTCATTTTCTTCCTGTATCCAGCATGTCAGGAAGTCCTGCTGGTCCCACCTTGAGGGAACATCCCCGCCCACTTCCACCTGCTCAAGCCTTCATTGCCTCCACTGTCTGGGGCCTGTGGCTCTCCACAGCTTCCTTCTTCCTTAGCCCTTCATGTCAGTCAGCAGCCTCGGGAAGCTTTTGTTTATAGTTTTGAGACAGTTTCACCCAGGTTGGCCTGGAACTCAAGCTCCTACTACTCCAGCCTCCCGAGTACAAGGATTCCTAGTGTGTGCTGTGCCCAAGCCCAGGAAACGCTTACAAGGATTATCACATGTCTTGGGACTCTCTCTTCCCACTACAAGAAAGCCCACACTCCCCACTGAGGCCCAGCCTCCTGGCTTCCCGCCCTCTGTTCCCAATTAGCTGCCTCACAAACCCAGCTGGGGCTTCTGCCTTGGGCATCCACTAGACACGCAGGCCCCTGTGCAGGTGACTCTCCCCCTGGCTCTCCACCGGGAAGCAGCCTGGGACACCAGCTTCCTGGTCTGCACCATGCCTCCCTGAGGTCAAAGGCTTGTAAGGGCAGGGAGGCCTGAGCCTTGCCCACCTTGCTGCCCTAGGTCATTCTAGCGGCACACAGGGCCCCGGACTCACCCCCGCTCAGTACCGAGTGCTCTTCCACCATCTTGGTCACAAAGGTGTCAGGGTCCACGCAGAAGTCGCTGGAGCCCTGAAATGGGTGAGGCAAGAAAGGGCAGGTGACCAAGCTGGGCCTCAGAAGCAAGCCATGACCACCCAGAGTTCTCAGGGAGACTTTGACCCTCACCCCCAGGGGCTGCCCTTAGTGCAGGGAAGCAGAGTGGGATACGGGGAGCATGGATCTGTGTGATCCAGGGCAAGATGAGATGGGACAGAAGTGAAGCTTTCTCCTCCCGACCAAAGCCCATCAGATGGGGATTCTCGGTCCCCCCGGCACTCACCACAGACACGGCCAGCTCCAAGCCCAATGCACCCCAGCTGATGACCAGGGCCAAGACACCCAGCAAGCAGACCCTTGGGGCAAAGAAGGCCCGTCAGGCTGGGGTATGCCACACACACAGCTGCAGTACAAAATGCCAGGCCCCCAGGACCTGAACCTGGGGGGGTCTGACCCACACAGGACAGTACGTCTTCCTGTGACCTGGTCTCAGAGCCACTCAAGGCCCAGAACCTACATACACAAATGCTCTTCCTGACTGGGATGAGACTCACCCAGTGAGTGCACAGCTGGGGACAAGTGACGGCCACCTTGGCCAGGGTAGAAGACCCTGTGGCACCCTAGGTCTCATACAACCTGTTTACATGAGACCTTGATCATATCGAGCCCTCCAGCTAGGCCAATGCCACCCACTGTATCCTATGCATGGCTGGCTCTTCCCTCCCTCAGGCCTGCTCCAGCCACACAGGCCTCCCTGCTCTTCCACACACCACCTAGCTGCAGGCCCGCACATCAACCTGCACACCTTTCCCCAGTGTCCGCAAACCTCTAACTCTTGCGGCTCCTTGGGGGCGCCACGCACACTCAAGAGTGCCCTGTCTCTGGCTCTGCTTTGCACTTAAGCATCGTCATCTGACACTCGGCTTCTCCATGTTTATCTTTTCATCCTTGTGAGGCCACTGGCAGGGGCTGGAGGGTTATGGGGCTCAACAGTGCCAGGCAGGACAGTGGCATCACCTGGCAGCCACCCCATTGGCAAGCTGACATCTTTCTGTCTTTCAGAGGAGACGGCAGGTTTGGCATCAAAGGGCCAATTGTTCAAGGTGGCTGACATGGTAAGCAGCCGAGCTGGGCTGGAACCCAGCCAGGTTGCCTGGTGTCCCCCACCACTTTGAGACCCGGCTGGGTGACTGTAAGTAACCCCCTGTGCAGGCTCTCCTAGGGAGGAGGACAGCTAGTGACTATAAACAGGCAAGGGGCTCATGACACTGGTCACAGCCATGTAACATCTCAGGGAGGAAGGCTGCCCTTAGGAGACGCTCATGGCCAGAGCCTCGTGGGTGTCACTGACAGGGGAGAGGGCTCTGCTATCCCATCCCACCCCCATCCCTATCCATGGGCCCACAGGGGCCCACCTTCCCCTCTGACTCACCCAACCAAGATACCCTTGGAGCTGCGGATGAGGCCCACCAGCACGAGGAGGCAGATGATGACGTCAAGCAACAGCAGGCCCAGGTACCCCAGCCACCTGTGGACACACACAGGCGTGGGCCAGTCATGGAGAAGGGCTGGGTAAACAGCCTGGGACTTTTGTCTTTTGGGGCAGGGTCCCGCCATTTAGCCCAGGCTAGCCTGGTGCTCTCGGCCTCCACAGTGCTGGGATTACGGTTATGTACCATCAAGCCTGACTCGATGTCAGTTCTTGAAAAAGACAGTGCCTCCTCCCACAGGGATTCCTGCTATGGCTGGCAACCTATAAGGCCTCAGGCATGAGGTATGAAGTAGTCCCAGGAGGGTGATGCTCTACCCAGGTGGGGTGGACCCTTCCCCCCAGGGTCCACCCCACCCTGACTCACCTGTACCAGTCATAGAGGTCCACCTGTTCAGCCAGCACCTCCAGTGATACGCCGGGGTTCCTCCAAAAGGGGATGGCGGCAGTGTAGCCCAACAGTGTCCCCAGCAGGCTCTGCAGCCGCTGCACAGCCCTCAGTGGCTCCTGTCGCCCGGCCAGCTGCCGCTCCAGGCTCTGTAGGTTGGGTTCCGCTGTGCGGTTCAGGGCCGCAGCCGTGTCCCACACCTGCCGGAGGAACAATATGAACTGGAGCCAGGTGCAGAGCTGTTACCTGCACTACCATATCATCCCACATGCACACAGAAGGTTCTAGAGCAGACAGGACGCTCCCCAGCCAGCCACTCACGCGGTCCTGGACCCCTGCCACTGTGCGGTTGGCATGGCGGAGCGAGTAGGTGAATCGATGAACTCCATCGCTGGTCTCCCCGTTGCCGTAGAATCCCACGGCGATGCCCGCGCTGGGGGAGGCAGAGCCATTGGATGCAGAGCGTGCAGCCAAGCCTTCCCACCGGCCCAGTCCTGGCTCCGACGACCCCCAGTCTCCTTGTCCCTACCCCATACTCTCTACAACCTACCCTCTTCATGGCCCTACCCGGTCCTCCTCTCCTGGTCCCGCCCAGACGTCCCCGCCCCATCGTCTAGTCTCCCTAACCCCACCCCCAAGTCACCCCGCCCCCAGTCTCTGACCCCGCCCCTCTCTCCACACAGGGCCCTCCAGCCCCTCCCTTCTGAACAGTCACAGGCCCCGTCCCTCCCTCTCCGGCTCACCTGCAGACCAACGTGGCTATGATGACGCACCAGGCGGTGCAGCAGCAGTCCGCTTCCAGGTGTTCATCGGTCTTCCGCCGCCGGCAGCACAGCCAGAAGGAATAGAAGAGCAGGAAAAGGAGGTCTAGGGCCAGGCAGGCCAGGGCGGCGGCCCCCAGCAGCAGCAGCGCCTGAGAGCGGGCGGATAGACAGAAGGGCGCTCGCTGGAGGGTGTGGGGCTAGGGCACCGTCCCATGGCAGCCCCTCCTCCCAATGGCTCTGCATCTTTTAGTTTGCCTGGCCACGTGCTGTCCCCAGTAAAGAAACTTCAGAAGCCTGGTGTCGGGGCGGCACATTGCTGGAATCGCAGGACTCGGGAGGCTGCCGCAGGAGAGCTGCTGCGAGTTGAGTTCCAGCCTGAGCTACACAGTGAGTTCCAAGCTATGGAATACATGGCAGAACTCTGTTTCAAATAACAAAAAAAGCTGGGGCTGCAGAGATGGCTCAGTGGCTACGAGCACCGGCTGCTCTTCCACGGGAGCAGGGTTCAATAATCAGTACCCGCATGGCCCCTCACAACTGTCTCACTATCAAAAGGGGATCTGATGCCCTCTTCTGGCCGCTGAGGGTATGAGGCATACATGTAGTGCACAGACCTACATGAAGACAAACCGCCCATGAATATAAAATAAAAATAAATCTTATTTTAAAAACAACAACAACAACAACAACATGTGAGTTCGAGGCCAGCCTAGTCCATAGAGTGATTTCCAGGACAGCCAGGCTACACAGAGAAACTCTGTCTCGAAAAACAAACAAAACAACAACATGAAGCTTGGTTCTCGAGACGGCTCAACAGAGAAAGGCGCCTGCTACCAAGGCAGACACCCTGAGTTCAATCCCAGGACCCTCATGGTGGAAGGAGAAGCTTCTGACTCCTGTAGCGCACTGTGGAGTATGTCCCCACCCCTATGTGCCAGAGAAGTAGAGAAAGGACAGGCCAGTAACTATGTGCTCTCTTAGTGGCCACGTGACGGGAAATGTGGTCTCAGCTCACTTCCTGTGCAGGGTACAGAAGCAGGGTGTTGTTGTTCAGCATCAGTTAGTTACCGGCCAACGGGGCAGCGGAAAGATGCTGGATAGTTACTTTTTCTGATCCTATCCAGGCTGTCTTCAGGCTCCCTGACTCTTGAGCTTCTCCTGGCCCCATCCCAAGTCAGGGAGGGATTTCTGATGGCCCCTCCGTGGGGCCAATGCCTGAGAATCTGTGCAGGCGGAACTACCCTTTGCCCAGCACCCCCCCTTGGGACCACAGGCTGCTCCATCAACAGCCCTGGCACCCAGTGGGCCACTTCCCAGGAGACAGTTGCCAGGCAGCAAAAGGATGGCGCTCCCTCCCTCCCAGAAGCCAGCTGGCTCCCACACCTGGAGGCAGGCCTCTGTACTTTCCATCTGGCCATGAAGGTGCTGCCTGCACGTCCAGTTACCGAGGGCCAAGAACTAGATTTCTGTGATCCAAAGCCATGATGCTACCCTGGAGGCTGATGGGCCATTGGAGACTGGGCCTCTGCTTGTGGCACAGTGCAAAAAAACCCTCAGAGAAAGGCCAGAGCTCTACCATGGTGCCACACCCCATCCCCCACCAGCTTCACCTTGTCCCCCTGTCCTGGAGCAGTCTGAGCACTGCAAGGCACTGGATGTAGGCATCTTGCTATTTTTGCAGTGTATGGTGCAGGCCCACCATCCCTGCACAGCGGGGAACAGGTGCAGTGGGGGCGAACCCTAGTTCTTACAGTAGAAAGGCCTCCAAAGCCCAGGAGGGCTGACCCAGGAGTAGAGAGGGAGGGGGACGGGCGCATGCCAGCTTGCAGCAGGCAATACAGACAGAACCTAGGACCCACTTATAGGTCACAGGTCAGCCACAGAGTCCTCACATATATAGACAGGGCCGGTAGCCCGGTACTAGGCCCTACACATAGTGGCCCTGGAGCACACTTGAGCTACGACATCCTCTGGCTACCCTCTGGATCTGTTGTCACCTGCTCACACCTAGGCACGGACCAAAGGTGCTCACCCACTGTAGGTCCCCTCATCACAAGTCAGAGGCAATGGACTATACCAGTCTGTGAGAGCAACTGACCACTTTCTCCCCAGGGGCCAAAGATACCTGTACTTCCATGAACAGGGCCACCCTAGTGCTCGCCCCATGTCAACCAGTCCCATTTTGGCCCATACATCTCGAATGTACATCTTCTCACTGGAGAGGAGCTAGGGATGGATCCCAGACACATGGCAGGCACCAGGCTTTGGCTCTGCAGCCAGGGCAGGCCTGCACTCCCAGTGTTCCTTGGCTGGTGCTGGGGTCACACACCCCCATTTGCTAGATGAGAAAACAGGGTTTATAAGGTAAGTTCCATGACAGGATTTGGGGTGGGGGTGGCAATTCTGTTCACAAATGGCACCACTGTGTTGCAGAAGGCTGACACTTACTTACAAAATGCCACAAGATGCTAGGGACATACAGGGACCCAGCTGACAACAGCCTTTGCGCAGCGAGGTGATCTTGGCGCTAAGCTTACCGAAGGGAAGGAGAGGGGCCATGGAAAGATGAACACTGGCCTGCAGTCAAGTCTGAAGACCTGGGTTCGATTCTCGAGAGTCACATGGTGGAAGGAGAGAACTAACTCCTACAAGTTGTCCTCTGACCTCCACACATGCGCACACCATGGTATGTAACATGGATACACACACACACACACATAAAGAAGAAGAAGAAGAAAAAAAAAAAAGACCGACAGGGATGTTGGGCGATCTGCAGCGAAGACCAGCCAGGGTCAGTGTGTGAAATGGAGTCAGTGGAGTCCCTGGGGAAATACACAAACTGATGGGAATAAAAGCTTTGAGTTCCACCTTTGTGGAGAGCCCCTAGAAAAATCCACATGTCCTCAGAGGGGTGTGGGGAAGCCACAGAACTGAGGGTGACAACCAGGGAAAGCACACACCCTTGTCCACATTCACACATTCGGGTCTATGTTCACACGCCTGCTCACGGTTGCACCTACACATACAAGTACCAACTGGTGTGGCCTCGTGAGTCCCAGGGCGTCTATGCTCTTATGGGCGGTGGCGCACACCTTCAATCCCAGCACTGGGGAGGCAGAGGCAGTCGGATCTCTGTGAGTTTGAGGCCAGCCTGGGATACACAGTGAGTTCCAGGTCAGTTGGGGGGTGGTGGTGGTGATTAGCCTTAAGAAACCTCATGGCCACCCAAAAACTGGTAGCCTGGGGCTCAAAGAAAGGGAGTCACCCAAAAGTCCCCAAACTAGTGAAGCCCTATAGGTAGTGACAGTCACAGCAGGTGCTTAGCACTCTCAACTCCTTACTCTCAAGGCAGCCAAGGGTCCATACCTGTCTGTCTGTGTACTCCACCATTCCATTCTGGTCTGGCCTTCTCTAGGAAGCCCCTTCTGAACACATTTCTACCCTCTGTGCCTTGGGGTCTGCTTGCATGTGTCAAGGGGTGGCTGGAAGGTGGGGCCAAGCTCATGGATGGGACAGGAATGATGCTAAAATCTCTACTCCAAGCTAAGGAGAGACTATTCTCCAATGGACCCAGGACCTGTGCTCAGAGAATGTGTTTAACCACAGCAGGGATAAACTGAGATCTCCCTCCCCCAAATTCCAAGAGGCCGGGATCTTTCTGGCAGGATCTATTCCTCCCCGATGGAGCCATCTGTAATGAATGCTGAGGCCAGGGGCAGCCAGTAGAATCTGTACTAGCCCCAGGAATGGAAGGGATAGCACTCTCTGGTTTACACTGAGGAAAGGCATGTCAGCATAGACACCCTGAGGCCCTGTGGGACAGCCACACTGAGACAGCATGACCTCTTCCCAGTCTCTGAGGACAGATCCCCAGAGGACGTGCTTCCGTGGGGGCACTAGGCCAATGTACTCAATGGCAGAGCAGCCACCACTGCCCACAGGCCATTGAGGATGATAATGGGAATTGCCACTCAGCATCTAGGCTCTGACCACATGGAATTTTCCGTCTGTGGTAAAAGTGATCTAGAGGCTCAGTTGGGTGAGGCAGGCACCCATCCCTGTCCTACTGGCCACAGTGTGGGCTACAGGAGCCAGGCTCTTGGCAAAGGTGGGCAGGGATAGCACCCTCTCCAGCTCCCAGTGGCTTCTTATTGTGACTCTCCCAGCTCCCCAGGACGTCACTATCTGTGATACAGTGTTAATACCACACTACATATGCACCTCTCACACATGCAAAAGGCCAGAAGCAAACCTCCAGGGGGGCATCGTCGAGGCTCGGGGCCCACCAGTGTAGAAGCATCTGGGTAGTTGTCTAGAGGGAGCACACGGCCACCAGTAACATCTACTTTTCTGGATAGAGATGAGCTACCAGGGTCCTGTCTGCCTGGAGTAGGAAGGAGTCACCACTGCGTCACACCTGTGTGCCCCGAGGGGGGATAAATCGCCACAGAGTGGACCCAAGATAGTCTGAGGATGCAGGCCTAGAGTGCATTCCTTCTGGGCCACCAGAGGCTCTAAAGACTCCCAACAGCACAGTTCCAGTGGCCATGGGAATCAGGAAGTAGAAGTGGGTCATACAGACTGCCACTGTGGGGTCATAAGTTCCTGGCTGGGCACCCTAGGAGAGCCAGGGCTCCAAGATGACTGGCTCTGTGATCTAGAACCCGGGAAGGCTTCAGGGAGCAGAAAGAAATCCAGGACGCAGGAACATGGACAGGATGGATAAGAGAAGGCAGGGAAGCGAGGACCTCCCCCCCTCACAGAAAGCTTCTAACGGCAATCCTACATCTGCCAGAGGAGGAGACAAAGTACGGGGGAGGGGGTGTCCAGGAGGCTGGCTGCTCAGGCTAAGACTCCACATGTGCCTTGGGCCAGAATGAGGAAAAGGGAGGGCCCACCAGGCTGAGCCCATGCCTGGGGATCACGAAGGACATACAACAAGCTGAGCATGCACAGAGCTGGCTCAGCATGTATGAGCCACAGGCCTGGCTCCCCGAGTCTGAGGCCTGAGGGTCCCCAGACCACTGAGTGGGAACCCATCTGTGCCTCCAGACACGTAGTGTTGGCCAGGAAGCCCACTCTCACCCCCACAGGGGGGATCTGGGGTCCTCCACCCACTGTCCTGGATGGGCTGCCAGGGTGCTGAGCT